AAGACAACAATAATTCTCTCAAGTGAAGTTCAAGACACCTCCGTTCTTCAGCAGTGAACATTTGCCTAAATATGAACAGAATGGTTCTTAGAAATGAAGATGAATCTAGACTACAACTACCATGAAGCAGAAATTAGAAACTAGATTTCACATCCAAATATCCTAAAACATGGGGTGAAATTTCATGGTGTTTTTTATTTCCAAGCAGTGAAGGAAACAGGGTGGGGAAAAAAAAAAAGGGGGGGGGGGGGGGGGGGGTGTAGAACTGAACATTTAAGGTGTTATCAAAAGCAGGAAAATTATTGAGAAAAATTCACTCAAGAATATCTGAAGGCACAGGACTTCTGAAGAAGAGGAGGATGCATAAAATGTTAGCAAAATCAACTAAGAATAACTCTGTCTCTATAAAATACTACTGCAAACTAGAATTTCAGCAAGCCAGAGGCTTTCAGAGCTGGATGCAAGCTCAGTATATCCCACCACTGAGGTCAGGCTTGCCATTCTCTCTCACAGGAGGAAAGAGATATGAACAAAAAGGCATTTCTCCAGCCACGAGAAGGCACAAGTTCCCCGACATCAAGTGGAGCTGTTTGAGACCAGACCACTGCCTTTCCCACATCCCACAACCCCACTGGGCAGCAAGGGAGAGAAAAGAAAATGAATTTTCAGAAGTTCTGACGGAACTGACACTCTGCTCACCTTCTGAGATTTTCAGCCTCTCAAAGAGCTGGGTAACACCCCAGGGGTTCTGTCTTCCCCTTAATGGAAATGCTCTGGTGACATTTTGTGTTCTTTTGGGGAAATCTAATACACAGGCATGTTTGAGAATACTATATCTGAAAATACAGAAAACTGTACCTAGCCACTAGAGATTAATAATCCCTTTAATACAAGGGCCTGTGGCAATTCCCAAAAGCGGGACATTGCACTTCTCTGCTTGCACTCCCAGGCGGGAGCTGGTTAGCTGCATTCGGCACAAATTCCGACAGAAATATCTTTCTTGTCACTTGGTATTTTCAGGCATGGTATGTTCATAGACTCTACTTGGAGTTTATGGACATAGGTGATAGGATTAGCACCAAGTTGTCATGCTGGGACAAAGAAAAAGAAACCTCAAATTAGTTTAAGGAAAATAAAATAAAATACCGAAGCAGACTCTAGCCCACCATCAACCTCCAGTGGTTATAGCAAGCATGCCTGTCCCTACCTTAGCCTCTTTTTTGACAAGCTACACAAGCTAAAGCTTATAACAATCATTTCCTGATTGTCTCAGAAACACTTTTCTTCACCCGTTTCAGTTTATTCCTCTAACACAGGAGTACGTGGTGAGCATCAGTATTTCAAAAGGGCCTTGACAGCAGCACAAATAATTCCCTGTTGCTGGGTGTCCTTCCCCATGTCACATTCAGAAACACTTAAAGATAAAGCTCTGCCATCTGGGGGAATCTGAAGGTAAACTGCTGATCTCAGCATACATCAACCTGAAGCTATGGAGCATCTGAAGAAAAGGCTGTCAGGGAAAACTGCCTTCAGAAACTGTGTCCAAAAGTCACCCTTATTGCTTCCTCTCTGCACTGCTGCAGGTTTCTATTTGGATTTATGTTGCCATGAGGTTTGCAGGGTCAAAGTGCTGGGGGGATTAAACTGCAAATAGAGACCGAGTACCAACATGTGTCAAAAGCCTTCTCTGCTTAGTTGCAGGGCTTGGATCAATTCTTTCCTCTCACCACTAGCTGCTACATGCCATGCCAGCCAGGTGTGGGCACTGGGAAGAGGGAACATGGTATTTGGCCTCATATGATTGATGACAAATATAATTATCAAAGTAATTTTAAAAAATCTTTTTCTGGGTAGCTCTCCTATTCTTTCTTTTGCATAGCACCTACTGAGCTGTGTAGCTGTGCTACAAAAACAACATTCTTCAATTGATTTTGCCAGTGTGTTGGTAACAGACTGACTGCAGAGCCTTACCTCCTATAAACCAATATCTCTGCGGTGACTTCAGGGATTTCAGAAGGACTTAAACCTGCTGCAAATCTAGATCTAACAGCTTAAAATTAAAAACATAAGATTTAGTTTCATTATATATTTAAATGCTGTTTTAAAATTCACATCTCATCACGCAACAACACATAACAAGAACTCAGAAGGAAAAACATACTTTCTTTAAAAAGAAGAAAAAAATAAAACTAGAATTAGTGTTTCTGAAAATTGTTGATCTCTGGCAGTAGGCACCGCTTCTTTCCCTAGAAAATGTTCTAAAATGTCCTGTGTTATGGTTATAGCATTTCCCCTTCCCCTTTAGTTAGCTGCTCAGTGTCTGGAACATGAAATATATGCATTTACAAAATGGCTGTTGCTATGGAGACTTCATATATTTAATTGGAGAAGAAACAGCTGAATAAGCCTTCATTTAAAAGCCCACAAAAGATGCTTTGACAGCTTTAACTCAAGGAATGCTTCCTTCTATTTTTTTCTATGCCTTATACTACCTATTTTAGTTTTGTTATATATTCACAAAACAAACTTCCCCACTTATTTTTCCATCCAGTTCTATCTGCATTTGAACAGAAAAGGTTTTTAGGAAATCCGACATGAAGACTTTCAGTTGAGATAAGAATGGTGGTCTTTATATAATTCTCATTACAATAGCATTAATAACTGAATGGGATGCATTTTGTGCTTTACCCAGAGAAAAAAATTGGTATCCTGAGCACATACAGCAGGCTTACAACTGCAGACGAGTCTGTGCTCCTCAGCTGTGATCAATTATTCTCCTCTAAAATGTCTAGGACTGATCTGATGAGTTTGGGGTGAAGGAAGATGCTGTTTTTTAAAGGTAGCCCAGCAATTATTTCTCATTTAGACACACAAAAGAAGGATGGAATAGCTGAGTTGAAGTTAAATGGGGGTTCTTTAAAACACTTAGTTCCAATCTACTTGTGTATGGGGAAGAGAAGACTGTGCACATTTAACTTGTGTAAATCATCCAGAACCATCAGCTATGTTCATGCTCTTAGGAGTTTCTAATTTTTTAAACCCCAAGATAGTTCAACACCCCCCCTCCCCATTTGCATTTACTCCTTTCAGAAAAACATCAAATATATTCCCTAAGTAATCTCAAGAAAACAAATCTATGTTTCTTGCATAGGCTTCTCAATAAAATTATGTTTCCTGACAACCTCTAGACCTTAGGCTGTGTATAGCTCTGCTTCTTCCAGCTGCTCTCCCTACCAGAACAGCTGATAATTGCAACACAGCTGGGCCAGGAGATAAACTTCAGCTCAATAATTGCAGAACTTCATGAAGAGATCTGGTGTGGGTTGCAAACCATCCAACAATTAGCATGGCAAGTTATTCAACCCCTAACTTAGCTCCTGGGTAGATGGCTAATATGGTAAAATTAGTGCTCAGCCATATGGTGAAGCTTGATGGTCATATGTTCCACCATATGCTTTAATACTGCTTCTGGACTTACTTAACAAATTATTAAAAAAAGGGGTATCTTGCAGTATCTAAACATACAATTTATCAGTGGCCCTATTGATCGGTCTCACTTCTATTTTCATTTCCTGGATGTTGTTTAATTTCTAATTTTTAAACCACCAACAATTGTAAGGAATAAAATTGTCTTAATTGTTTAAAACATATAGGGACTGAGATTACTGTATCTTGGTGTGCTTACAAATACTCAAAATCAAGCAAACAAACAAAAACCTGAAAGGAAGTCACAGATTTCAGTGAAGCAGAATATTCACTTGGTGGTTTCTGAATGCCTGGGGTACTTCTGAAGTTTGTTCACATCCTCTGTGATATTTGAACTATTTAGTTGCTCAATGTTTAATGAAGGAAAAATATGTCTTTCTCTGAAGTTTATCTGACGTGTATTCCATATTTTGATTGTATCTGAAGAAGGACAATAGTTTTTAGATGTAATTTTATGTCCTGTAAAAAAAAAAACTTTCTTGATGGAGCAAACTACAATTCTAGAATTGATGTCACAAGGTAGATCAAGACACAGCAAGTAGTGAAATGAAAGGAGAGTCTTAGAAGGCATAGCGAGAGTGTAGAAGAAATGATGAAAGCCTTAACATAGCTTTACTCATAAAGGACTTTGCAATGAAGTAAATTTGGTGTTAGCTGTGTTGTATCAGTGACAATGAAACCTGAAATCCTCAGAAAACAAATAGCTATGTAGCTGTAGCAATGTCTGCATCCTGCAAGAGCCACTAACATTGAATAAGATAATCACCACAACCTGTGAGGTCAGCTCCTCTCATGAGATGTAGGCATATTGATAGATTTGGGAATGGAAGGACAGGTCCTAATGAAGGATATTGCCAAAGGAAAACCAGACTTGGGGGAGATGTAAGGCACGCTGAGACTTCCAAGTCACAGAAAACGTTCGTCTGGAATGGAACAACGCGCTTCTGTGTTTTAAGGGTTTTGAGAGCTGCATATGTTTGTTGGGGATGTGAGGGCATCGTTGTGCTGAAGACTGCTGTATTTTCTCTCAACAATGTTAAGAGGGACTTGCATGTTGTATCACCAAGGGAAGCGTTGATGTGCATATGCAGGCACTGGGGTATAGCATGACTAACATAAATAAACTGCGATTTGAATAAAAAGTATGAATCAGCTATTCTGTACAAATTCTGGAGTGGCTTCATCCAGCTTTCATGGAAGGTGCCCAGCATGCAATTGGGTTTGCTCCTCTCTAAAGGGCTTAAACCGCACAGTGAAAACACTAGAGATTCATACCATAGCTCTCCACTAATTTCCCTTAGCAAGTGTGCTCCAAACAGGGCTATGGAAAAATGAGAACTTAAAAATGTCTGAATTCTCAGCAGTGTCTCAAGCAGATTTATGGGCAAATAAATAAATAGATACAATTCTTAATGGAGCTCCCCCTCCACACTTTTTTTTTAGTGGAAAACACGAAAAATCAATACTCTATTCTAATATTATGCTCATTCCACAAATATTCATTTTTTTTTTTAAACTAGTTATACTTTTTGATTTGATAACTTGTCCATCCAAGGGGTGCCGAGGGACAAGAGTCGGTAACATCTGGATCATATACCCTCTGAAAGTAATCTTCAATTCTGTAGAAAAAAAAAAAAAAGATGAGACCATATGTTCCCCAGCTAGAATTCCTCTCCATGGCCAGGGGCTCTTCATTTTACCCTTACTCTTGCCCTCTGTGCAGCTGGCACTGGCAGGTAAGTGCTGACCTGGCATTTCCGATTTAGTACCTATACCTAAAAATTTGATGTTGATTTGCATTTTAGAACATGCATTAAAAAAAAAAAAAAACAAAACCTGTACCAATTCCCAGAAGGAAAAAAAAAGAAAAGAAAAAAGAAAAAAAAAAAAGAGGCAACTAGAAATTCTCAGTTTCAAATAACAATTTCCTTTGTTATATTTCAAATAACAATTTTCCTTTCCAATTAAAGAAAATTGTAATGGTATAGAAGACAGGTTTAAAGGACTGCAGTTACAGATCTATTTCCAGATTCCTATTTAAAGCCCCAATTTCAGATGTTAAGTACTTTGCTTTATTTTAACAATGTAGACAGTCCTGCTAGCTCCAAATGAGACTACTTTTGCATTTGTATCCCTGGATGAATCAGGCCCTTAATCTGCATGTATTAAACAAATTACATTCTGCATTAGGGAACTCTGAGGACTTGTACAATTATCTCTTGTGGCAATATTTGAGTTAAGTTAATGTCAATGAAACCCATAGTTTAATACATGTGTAAAAGACAGAGCTTCAATATTCATGCAGCACAGCACAAAGATGTGTTTCTGTAGCAACAGAAATTAATTTAAGCTGCAGATGTGATAATATCCTGGAATAAGCATTTCTCAAAGATTATTAATCAATGCAAGTGTGATGTCTATTTCATCGGGTTTTCCTGCAAATTTGCTATTAGTAACTGCTTTAATAGTTTCACAGTTTTACACATCACTGAACAAAATGAATTTTAATGAACTGTATTTTAAATGTATTGGTAATTTAAAATGTTTTCAAAAGGACCTTTTGCAATACGTGAATAGAAAAGGTGCATTTTTTTTAACCTGATTTTCTACAATTAATTTTGGGGTTTGTTTGTATTGTTAAGAGTCTGCATATTTCACCTGTGTGTGGCAGGGTGCAAAAATAAAATAAAATAAAATAAAAATCATACAAGTCCTAGAATAATTTGTATCTGATCTGAATGTGGAAAAGTTTTGTTTTCTGAAGAATTGCTCCAGTTTACAGCAGAGTCCTGACCCAAGAAAAAATGAAACCACGTGCCATGCCTTAGCTTACTTAGCTTTACACAGTCTCACTTCAGTCCTTTAATAAGAAACTCAGAATCTGAGGAACAATTTTTACAGGGATGATAACTGAAGAGACTCAGTTCCCGTTAATCCTTAAAGGCTTAAAAAATATTCTAAATCAAAGGAATTTCCTTGGGCTTGTCAAAACTCTCCCTGCTGTTAATTATACAGGCATGCAAAGTTCACCAAAGTTCTGTTTGAAACACTGTCACAGTCTTCCTAGCAGTTTTGGATCCTAAAATAAGTTAATGATACTTATTAATAAGCTAGTAAGTGTTGGACGTGGATGGCCTCCCATTGAAAGGTCTTAACAAGCCAATTTCCTAGCACAGCAATACTTTCTCAAGATGGGTAGGTCTACATTTATGTCCTGAATTGATGGACAGACTGTCAAGACTCTGGTATAATTGTGTCCTAGAGGTAAGCACAGCTGGGATCTAGAGATGGAGAGAATCATCAGAAAAGGCACGGCTGCAAGGCTGCTTGTATTTCTTATTACTGGGTGTAATAACTTGCTAGAGTTGTTTTTGTGTGATATTAATTATCTGAAAGGCTCATGCTGCCAAGTATATCTGTGGTATTTTCTGAAGACGGTAGATTTGACCTGACAGTTGAGATATTTCCAGACAATTATTTTTCAGAAATTGTATTTGTTAAGTTTTTTAGGAAATATCCACTAACCATGAAAGAGAGACAGAAGAAACCAGTAGAGCCCCTGGAGTGTGACACATCTGGAGTCCCCAAATGACAGCTAACATGTTCAGGTCAGTAACTCCCAGTCATTCAATAGGAATTCTGATATTTGGTAATGATATTTTTGAGTCTTTTCATTTATTCAAGAGAATAAAGGAATGGTAATTTTCTGAGGAAATAACTTGTTTCTCTTTGCAGCAGTATTATTCCTCATTTTACAGTGAATACATGCATGGCAGTTATTATTAAATACTGAATGGTTTATAGGTCATTTTAATGCACAGTTTAACATTTATACAGGCAAATAAATTTTATAGGGAAAAAAGGAACCATTTCTCAAAATATTATTATAAGAAACCTAAACCAAACTGTTTTTTAATAAGGTGGAGAACTTACTCAGCATCAAAGTTGTCTTTCCTTAAAGATTGTTACTTAGAAGTTGGGAAGAGAGAAAACTGCCTTACTGCTAAGCAAATCCAATGTACCTAAACATGTCTGCTCTGGAAAACAGAAACCTTGAGGAACCCAGAGCTGAACAGAAAACTCTGCCTTTAAAGACTTCAACGAACTTTTAGGGTGCCAGAACTCTGACGTGCTGCCTGCCTTCTGCAGTAGGTCTGAATATCCACATCTTCACATGCAGGATTTAAGGCCCCTTATTTTTTTCAGAGGATTAACAATCCACGTTAGCATTCATGAGAAACCACTGGGATTACTTATGTCCCTGTCTAATACGTATTTTCTCCAGAAACCTTGCTCCTCACCACTGGACCTCATGTGCTCCTTGCCCAGCCACACCTGCCATTACTCCTATTTCCAGGCAAACCTCCTGGTAAGCAGTCATTGCTGTGATTACTCCAGAACATCTCACTACACAGGGAAATTAATTCCAACATTCATGACTTCAAAAGAAGTAGCACTTAGTTTGCACCTTTAAGACAGATGAAGAAGTAAAGGCAAAACAGATAGAAGTGACATCCAACAAAAATATTCAAGTTTTTGCTAGTATTACTCATAAGGGATAATTTTTGACCCCAAGTTTATTCATTTTTTATGAGGCTGCCTTAAATCTCTTTTATTCTGGATATGTTAGGAGCAAAATTTATTTGTATGTATTAAGGAATGTTTTTTTCTGTTTATGTGGGCATGAAATTTAGTACTACTGTGTCTGAGTAAAGACATTTACAGTTGAGCTCTAGATGAGGGTGCCACCAGTATGACTTATGAATTAGCAAAGCATTGAGACTTCTCTCAGTTTTTTTTTTTTTTTGTACTCCAATATTGTTTGGATATACCTTTCTTACTCACAGCTGGAAGACAGCGACTAGCAAGTAAAAATGATTTTTTTTTTTTTTTTTAAAAGGCTTTTACTGAAATGGTTTATTCCTGCTTCACTTCGTTTTATTCATTCTGTCTTGCTTTTGTTGGTTTGTTTTCTTTTTTCTTCACTTATATTCACTTATACATTGCAAACTATATAGCTCAAAAATTCTATGAGCCATTGCTTAAGAACTCAAACTTCGAAAAGTTTCTGAAAAAGTTCCTAAAGAGTGGAAGACGAAATGAAAGCAATTGGTTCTAAGAAGCTAGAAACAACAGGGAACAGAGAGGCTGATTATCACTTACGCACATCTTCTACCAGATTTAAGTTGATCTTAGTGTGGAGGATTTTCTTCGTTCTTGGAAGAGTAAGGGGAAAATCAGTGGTGTTTATTTTGGATATATATATATATATAATCTTAATTTTCTTTTGTAGTCTCTGTGAGTTGGTTAGGGATAGGTATTTCTTTTCATTGAATATTTTCTTCGCAGTCTAAAGATATATGCTGTCTCTATGTATGTCTAATAAGAGCCCTTGTTACAGCATCTAGATGCTCATTAAAGATATTTTTACACTGCATGCAAGATGGTATTAATATATTCCCCCAGCATAAGCCCTGAAATGAAACATACTGTGTATTTTGGTAGTCATTGTTTTCCCAGGTGCTGTCTCTATCAGATATTGCAGTGGAAACCATTCACCCCTAAATTAATCTGACATTGCTCACTGACTAAGATAATAAGGCTCAGGAGCAGACAGTAACATACAGTATCAGTCTTTGGACTATTTAGTGCTGGAGGAATTGAAGCAACATGAGTTCAGCACATTGCTTGACACAGTCCTGGTTTTATCCTACTGTTTCCAATGCTGTCCTTAGCAGTATCCACAGCTAGAAAAAATAACTAGTGGCAACAATTGTAGTTCATCTAAATAAAATAGATCCTGAACTTTACCTGCTTGAAAATCTTCCTCATCTGACTTTCATTTAATCACAATTGAAAATAACAAGGTCTATGCAATAGGGAACCATGTCTAGAATCTCAAAAGAAATTATTTGTATTCAATTCCTGAAGACTATACCAACATGACTAGATATTTCTTCTATATATAGCTCAATGTATCTCTATAATTCCCTACTGACACTTTGCAGTAGAGAATATTCTCAATATATTGGCAAATATTAAGAAGCCTGTATTTTGAAACCCTGTAGCCAAACCCTCAATTTTTCCTTGGAGCTTCAGGAGCTGCATGACTTACTCATATCTGCAGTTGGAATATTAATGTTTCTACATGAATTAATGCAGAAAAAGATCAATGATGATTCAGTACTGTATGGAAAACAACAAACAAACAAAAACAGGAACAAACAAAGAAAAAAAAAACACAAAAACAAAAACACATACACACAAACAAAAAAATAAACACCTGTGTAAGTGAACTATGGTTTGCCATAATCAAAACTGTGCAACAGAGCTGGTTGATGAGCTGTAAATCCATGAGGAGTGATAGCTGGAAATGTGCTTCAGTTTCCATTATTGTTATCTACGGTGTTGTTTTAAGCTCATTTCTATTCCATCTGTTTATTTGAGAGAGGGTTAGAATAGTAGAAAAAAGCAAATGAATGCTTAAACTAGTGTTAGAAGATTACTATGAAGAAAAATCTATGTATTAAGACTCAGGAAGGGCAAAGCTTGCAGGCATACTGTCTTTTATTGAGTTTCATTTTCTTAAATAATATAAAAATTACTACAGAATAAGGCC